AAATACATAATTGTATAATTGTAGAATGAGAATAAGAACCCAAAGGAGGTGGGGGGGGGGGAAATTGAGGGAAGAGAATGGGAGGCAGAGTGCAGGGTGCATTAATCATAGGGGTACACAATTTGATGGGTGGAGAGAGGGGACTGTGAAGGAAATGGAAATATCCAGTGTGAAAAACAATGTATATGAACTTTGTAAATAAATCAGTATAAAATATTTTTTTAGTGAACCAATGGTAATGAAAAAGAAAGTTCAACTTGCACAAAAGGCATTGGCAAAAATGTGAAGCCCTAGGAATTGATGTGATACCAGTTGAAGTGCTTCAAAAAATAGGTCAACCTGGATGTGCTCACTAGCCTATACCAAGAAAATTGGAAGACAGATACTTGGTAAATTGACTGAAAAAGATCCACATTTGTTCCCATTCACAAAAAATAGATTCAACACAATACAGTAGTTATCAAACAATATCATTAATATCAAATGAAAGTGAAATACTATTGAAGATTATTTAAAAACAGCTGGAATGACACTTTTAAAAAAATTTATTATTTTGTGTGTGTGTACCATCAAATCGGATCTGACTGGTACAGGAGGAGATTGTCCCTCCTTTTCCAGCAGAGCATCCGGTGGATTTGAACTGTGTGCCTTTGGGATTGCAGAGCAGCTTCTTGCCACTAGGCCATGGAATAACACATTTTTTAAATGTGTCAGAAATTGAAGTTGGATTTAGGTGAGACTGAGAAATGAGGAACATCTCTGTTGATATCAAATGAATCTTGACTGAAAGCAAAGAATAGCAGAAAGATGTTTACTTATGTTTTCTTGAATATTCAAAGGCATTTGACTGTGTGAGTCATAGCAAATGATGGCTAACACTGAGAAGAATGATAACCTCAGAATACTTATTTGTACTTATGTGATACATTGACTAAAAAACAGTTATCCAAACAGAAAAAGGGAACACTGCACGATTTAAAATCAAGAAAGGTGTACATCTGGCTTGAGTCCTTTCTTCATATCTTTTTGATCTGTATGCTAAGCAAATAGCTCCAGAAGCTGGACTATATGAAGAAGAATGTGGCATCAGAATTGGAGGAAGACTCATCAACAGAATGCATTTTTCAAAAGACACAACCTTGCTTGAAGAATGTAAAGCAGATTCAAAGCACCGCTGCAGAAGATCAAAGCTTATAGCTGTCAATAAAGATTACATCTCAAAATCAAGAAAACAAAAATCTTCACCACTGGAATAATGAGCAACAAATGATAGAGAAAAGATTGAAGTTGTCAATGATTTCATTTTCTTTGGCTCTACAATCAACATCCTTGGTTACAGCAATCAAGTAATCAAAAGATGTGTTACACTGGGAAATTCTACTGTTAAGAATCTCGCTAAAGGACTAAAAAGCAGGGATATCAGTTTAAAGACTAAGGTGCACCTGGTCCCAGCCATGTTATTTTCCTTTGTTTCCTAAGCATCTGTAAGTTGGATAATGAATAAAGATGACAGAGGGAAAAATAGATGCCTTGGAATTATGGTGTTGGCAAAGAATATGGAATATCCATGGACTGCCAAAAGAAAAAACAGATCTCTCTTTCCAGGAAGTTTATCCAGGGTGCTCCTTGGAGGCAAGTGTAGTGAAACATCCTCTCATATACATTTAGATGTTCTTGATAAGAGTAGGAATCCCAGAACACTTAATTGTACTCATGGGAAACCTATACTTGGACCAGGAAGCAGTCATCAGAACAAAACAAGGAAATACTGCATGGTTCAAAATCAGAGAAGGTGTATATCAAGGATGCATCCTATCTCCTTACTTTTTCAATCTAAATAAAGAACAAATAATTTGCAGGGGCTGGACTTTATGAGGAGTATTGTGGCATCAGGATGGGAAAAAGAGTCATCAACAACCTGTGCTGTGCAGATGGCACAATCTTGTTTGCTGAAAGTGAGGAGGACTTGAAGCATTTGCTACAGAAGATTAAAGACTGCAATCTTCATTATGGATTGAAGCTCAACATCAAGAAAACAAAGCTTCTCACAACTGGGTCATTTGGCAGCATCATGATAAATGGAGAAGGATTGAGACTGTTCACAGTTTCAGCTTACTTGGTTCTATAATCAACACTCTTAAAACCAGCAGTCAGGAAATCAAAAGACAAATTGTATTGGGAAAATCTGCTGTCAAGGACCTCTCAAGGGTACTGAAGAGTAGCAATATCAGTCTAGAAATTAAGATGCACTTAATTCATGCCACGATCTTCACAATTACTTGCTATGCATCCTAAAAACTGGAAAATGACTAAGGATGACAGAAGACAAATCGATGCCTTTGAGCTGTGGTCCTGGAGAAAATTATTGAACATACCCTTGACTGCCAAAAGAACAAACAGTTATGTCCTAGAAAGGGTGAAACCAATCTGCTCCTTGGAGGCAAAAATTTTGAAGCTCACATAATTTGGGCTTGTTGCTAGAAGAGACTAATCCTTGGAGAAGGACATCATGCTTGGAAAAGCGGAGGGACAGTGCAGGAGAGGAAGACTTTGGATAAGATTAATTGACACAGTAACTGGAGTAATAGGGATAGGTGTGCCACAGACAGTGAGATTGGTTTAGGATAGGACAGTGTTCAGAGCGTATCGTGTCATTAAGAGTTTCAGGGGACGACCGCACAGAACAACAACAGGAAGGACTAGTCCTTAGAAAAAGATATCAGAGTGGGAAAAGTTGAGGGTTAGAGAAAGGGTGAAAGACACTCAAATAGATTGACACAATGACTACCACAATAGGCTTGCGCATGTCAGAGATCATGAAAGATGGTCCAAGACAAGGCATGGTTCCAATCTATTGTGTATAGTATTGCTTCGGGTTATAGACGAATGGATGGCACATAATAACAGCATTTGGGATAGTGATCACAGAGGACCAAATAGCTATGGGTTTGGCAATAACCAGAAAGAACTACTCTCTGAATCTTAGTAACACTCTTCATTGTAATTCCATTGATAGGGCATTTCATGTCACAATGTTTGGCACAGAGCTGGACCATAAGGCATGTGTATTGAACAAGGACATGATATAAAGTTAGTCTTAAGTGTTGGATCCATGGTGCTTCAAGGTAGCATACCTGCTGGAAATAAAATAATTTTACCCATATTTTAAGTCTTAAAAACATACCTGACATCAAGAACTTTGAGATTTCCACCACCATCAAACTTCAAATACAGCCTAAAAAAAAAAAAAAAAAGATACCGCAATCTATCAAAATAGGAATGACCTTAACTGATAGTATGCACAAATATGAACTTGAAATGACACATAAACCTAAATGTAATACCTAAAACTTCAAGTTTTGTAGAAAAAACCTACAAGAAGGTAATTGGAATCCTGAGATGAAAATGATTTTTTTAATAAAACACAAAAGCATTGATTCATAAAAGAAAAGATAACTAGGATATTGTTAAAATAAAAGCATTTCATTTTCAAAAGACACTTAAAAAACCAACCAGCCACCAATTGAGTGAAAGTATTAGCACAGTATTATATAAAAACTATTTGTGTCCAGAATATGTAAATATTAAAAACTCAACAATAAGAAGACAACTGAGTAAAAATATTGGCAAAAAGGCAAAAAGGCACACAAAGGAAAATATACAAATAGCCAATTATTACTTTTTTAAATTGTTCAGCATCATTACTCTTCAAAGAAATGAAAATAAAATCACAATAAGATTCATACCTTTAGAATGGTCAAAATTTACATGAAAACAAAATAAAATCTCCTTGCTGTTAAGCTTTACTATCCATATTTATTCACACAACCCTGAAACTGAACACAGATTACTTGAAACAGACATAGATTAATTAATACTCAGAGCAATAATCATATTGCTTCCCCTTATTTTTCCCTCTGAGCTATCTGATGTAGGCTTGAGATAGGTCATCCTAAATATACTGGGATTTTTTAATACAAAGAACCCCAAAATATGAATCTAGGAATTTATATAGGAAAAATAAGGGATATCTGTCCCCCTCAGCTTTTAAGAGAGTGAGAGATTTGCTCCTTTAACTTGAATAAAGTCTTCTTGGCCTCAAACACCTCAAACTCATGAGCATTGAGTTGAATTGGATCATAGCTGACCCCCAGGTGGGGTTTGGGAAACTGTAAATAACATGGGAAGAGATAGCTCATCTTTATCTCTGAAAGCCTCTGGTAGATTTAGACAAAGAGAGAGAGGCACCGCTTTTGGGTTAGCTGCACAACTGCCTGTGGGCTGTGCCAGGAAATAAAAGGATCCAGAGTCCCTGAGCTAAAATGAAAGTAAAGAGAAAAAACGCAAACCCCTTGCCAACAAGTGGTGGATTGATTATAACTTTATAAAACAGAGTAGAACAGCCCTGTCAGTTCTTAGTCTTTCTCTGCGATCCTATCCATAGTATACATAGTGTAATAATAGTAAACACCACCAGTGGGAAGACAAAACAAGTTCCACTCAGTTCACAGCTGCTAGGATATTTTCATGGTGCTGGGTATTTATACCCTTTGAAATGTACATATGCCTCTGAGAAGGTAAACCTCATGCTGATTTCCAAAGACTATCTTTTAAATCCAGTCAAATTTGTTCAGAAAGTACCAATCATGCAAAAACATAAAAATATTGTTTTCTGCAATCATATGGCACAATTTCATGTCCTCTGAGGACATGCAGTGTTTGCATGATGCTGGTGAGATGTTGTTGTTGCTTTTGTTGTTGTATATTTTTGTTGTTGAGTTGGAACTGACTCATGGCTGACTCTCTGGTGGATTTCCAGGGGCTGTAAATTGTACTACTAGCAGCTTGTTCATCTTTCTCCCACAGAGCAGCTGGTGGATTTGAACAGCATGCCCTTGTGTTGGCATTGCAACACTTTTCCACTAACACAACAGAGTTCCTTGGTAAGAAAACAGGTAGGCCATTCTAGGAAATAATTTGTTAATTTCTTAAAAAGTTGAAAAGACTATACAATTTAATCTTTTCTTTCCTATGCATTTATCCAGAAGAAATGATATTATATGCCCACACAAGACTTGTACATGAATATTCATAACAGTTTATTTAAAATAAACAATAACAGAGCTCTGATGGCCTAGTGGTAAGAAGCTACACTGCAATCCCAAAGGCAGAGCATTTGAATCCACCAGAGGCTCTGTGGGAGAAGAACGGGCATTCTCTTCCCATGGGTTATCTGCTTTTGAAAATCTGCTGGAGTTATGGGTCTGTTCCCATTCAATGATACACAATAACAATAGTTTAAAAGTAAAGGGGGAAAATTTCTATCAACAAGTAGGTGGATTAATAAATTGCAGCATAAAAATGAAATACAGCACAGCTCAGTAGTATTCATTGCAATTACCTTTTTTCAACATCATGAAAGGCAACAATACATACTGACCTCAACTGATGAATACACAGCAACCAAATCAACTACATCTGTAGAAAAAGACAATGAAGGAATATCAACACTCAGGACAAGGCTATTTCTAGCCTTGGAAATAGACCATGAATTACTTTTTTGCAAGTTCAAGATTATGCTGAAGAAAATTAAAACAAGTCCATGAAAGTCAAAGTACAACCTTGGATACATTCCAGCTGAATATAAAGATCATTCAAGTATAACTTTGATATATTTAACCAAGGACCAGTGGAGTCATGAATGATATTAAATACATCATACTGGGGAGGGGGCGGAGAGATCACTAGAAAGACAGAAAACACAGACAAAAAGTACATCAAAAGTGGGATAATTAAACATTGTCATCAATTATATTATCAATGCTATTCAAAGTATCAAGCACACCGGGTGCTTGAACAGCCAGCCAGAAACACTTGTCCAAGACAATGGCCAAGAATAAAAGAGAGGGAAGAAGCCCAAAAATATGTTTTCCATAGCAAGCCAAAAAAATAAAAATAAAAAAATATTTAAAGGCTAAAACAAAGCCAAGCCAGTTGCTACAAATCTTAAGAAGTTAAATACTGTGAATGATGAAAAAGTAAAAAAAAGTAAATAAAGCCTTTATAGATATATAAAAAGAACTTGCACACTTCTCAAAAGGCCTTCCCCTTGAATCTCTGCACAAATAGTCAGTTCCCCAATAGCAACATAAAAAGACTAGTGAACACTGATGAGATCACACAGTTAATATCTCTATTATAATAACCATGATGATGCTGCATCAAGCCTTCAAACCTCACCCCAAAAAAGACCAATAATTCCATTGTTTAGAATATACCCCCAAAAAATGAGAACTGAGGCTCAAACAGAAACTTGTACTCAAATGTTCATAGCACGGCGGGAGCCCCGGGGAGAGTTCTCTTTTCTTTGTGAAGGGCAGGGCGCCCTGGAATGGGTTCGCCCCAAGAGAGGGGCCCGCGCCTTTTTTAAAAAAATTTTATAAAAAAAAAATGTTCATAGCAGTGTTATTCACCATAGCAAGAACATGGAAACATCTCAGATGTCCAACCACAAAGGAATGGATTGAGAAGTTGCGGTACATTCACACAATGGAATACTACTTAGGATGCAGGAGCAATGATTTTATAAATTACTACCTAACTTGGAAGAGACTGGAAAACATTATGCTGAGTGAACTAACTTAATTCCACAAGGACAAATACTGTATAAAAACATTATTGTAGAATGAGTATGAGGATCCAAGAGGGCAGGATGGTGGAAGCAGAGGGGGTGAGGATGGGAAGAGGAGTGGGGTGTTAAACATAGGGTTGCACACCTGGATGATGTGGGGAAGGAAATGGAAAAGACCTTTTGTGAAAATCAATGTATTCAAACTTTTTAAATAAATCAGTATAAAATTTAAAAATAACCCCCCAAAATTTAAAAATACCAATAATATTAATGCCATACAAAACTTTATTTTTTTTAAAAAACCAACAAAATATCAAAGATATGAAAAACCAGTATGTTCTGTAAACCTTCACTCAAAGAAAATCAATTTAAAGAAAAAAAAATCAAGTCTCTTTTTTTAAAAAATTATAAGAAAGAAAAAAGATCCAAAATAAATGCTAGACTTGGAAACTTGAAGACAGAATAGCTAAAGTGAATTTAAGAAAAGTTGAAGTAAGGAGGCGAACGGAAAATTTTAAAGGGCTACTCAAGAGAGTAGGGTGGTCTGGTGGCTTACTGGTAAGGAATTGCGCTGCCAGTGCAGAGGTCCATGGCTCAAATCTACCAGCTGTTCCCCAGGAGAAAGATGACAATCTCCTCCCATGAGATTTACTGCCTCTGAAAAGCCACTGGAGGATCAGCTTTGGGTCATTTCAAACTCAACGGTATACGATAACAATAAAAATTAGAAAACAAATTTCATAATGAAATCTGCCAAGACCTATTGTTAAAAATCAAAATACAAGATCACACTCAGCATTTCTCTAACCAAAAGAAAAATAAAATTCAGAGATACAATATTAAAAGATTCCATGGGCAAAATGCTGAATGACATCAAAACAAGGTGGAAAACAGAATTACTGTCCCCAAAATAATTTCATTCACATTCAGCCATTTCAGCAAATAGCATATGATCAAGAGCCAGTGGAACTGGAGGAAGAAGGCCAAGCTTCATTGGAGATGTTTGAAAAGGAGGAAAAGCTTTCAGGAATTGATAGAATATCAACTGACATGTTTCAGCAAACAAACGCAGCACTAGAGTTATTCCTTCATTCATGCCAAGAAATCTAGAAGACAGGTTGGCCAACTGTTTGCAAGAAATCTATATTCATGCTCGTTGCAAAGAAAGATGATCCAAATGTGAAAACTATCAAACAATCAATCACATGTAATTAAAATCTTTCCGAAGATAATCCAAAAAAGCCTGAAGCAGTACATCCACAGAGACTGATCAGAAATTCAAGCTGGATTCAGAAATGAGGGAGATCATTGCTGGTGTCAGGTAGATCTTGACTGAAAGTAGAAAATACTAGAAAGATGTTTACTTGTGATTTATTTGCTATAAAAAGGTATTCAAAGGTATTTGGCTGTGTAGATGATAATAAATCACAGATAATATTGAAAGGCATGGGAATTCCAGAATACTTAAACATGTTCATGAAGAACCTGTATGTAGACCAAGAGGTAGTCATTTAAACAAACAAGAGACTATTTCAAGGTTTAAAATCAAGAAAGACCATATTCTTTTGCCATGCATATTCAATCTATAAATGGAGCAAAGAATC